TTACATTCGCCGCTGCTATAAATAAAATTATCTCGCTATAATTATTAAACACTGTTTTACGTAATATCACTAATATGTATATAAAATTTTATGACAAACTGATCTAAAGTGACATACGTGTTGTACAGTGTACATGTGTATTGTGTACACAATATAATATTACTTGCCGATTGTATTCAGACTTCTGACAAATATAAAATTATGACTCTATGACTCGCACGTTACGTCGCACGTTGTTACTATTAGACGTACTAACAAACATATTAGTTTTTATATATAACTAGCGACTCACCCTCGCTTCGCTCGGGTTTTAACAGTTTGTATGGAATAAAATAGACTATATATTATGATATATAGCCTATAGCCTTCCTCAATGAACGGGCTATCTAATGCAAAAAGAATTTTTCAAATCAGATTAGTGGTTGCTGAGATTAGTGCGTTCAAACAAACTATGACATATTAATATATATATATATATATATATACATACACAAATTAGTGATAAGAGATACCATTTCTCAATGTTTTCAGAGGGAAAATAACTTGAACATATTATGAGTTTGTACAAAAAATACTTCTTATAAATACGATTACAGGACAATATATCGATAATCAGACATAAGAATATTAAATTATTATTATTATAATACACAATAATATCTACCATAACTAGTGTAGTACCATAAAGGGGAAGATATTTACAAGACAACAATACTATATTTCATTTAAGCGTGAATTCAGGCAATTTTGCGGTAATGACTAATAACCGTTTACCTTGTACAGAGCCTTGGCTCGTTCATACTGGTACCACATGCTTCATAAATATGTAATGATTTTCAGAATTATGCCATCTGTACCTACGATTCTTATTAAAATTAGTTTTTTTTTCCTATTTTAAAGAATCAAAACTTAATTGCGACATTGTTTTAATTTAGAATATACAATGCTGTGTAATTACTTCCTGCAACACAGTATATAAATATAGTAAAATAAAATAATTTAGTTTAAAAATTAAAAAGAAAATGACTTGTGCAAAAATTACTGTCCATAGTATAACATAAATAAAAAATATAATTAAAAGATATAATTCGACGACACGTTTGGCTCATTTTGTAATGACCCTACTTGGTGTGCCAGCGGTCGCGGATTCGAGTCCCGCTGGCGCCATTCATCTGTGTAATGAGCATGAACGTTTGTAATCCAGTCATGGGTGTTTATATTTATAATATGTATGTATTTAAAGTTATTATATATGTGTAGTGTATCAACTACTGATATCCATAACATAAGCCTCGTAGCTTACCATGGAACTAGATGGTGCTGCTGCTGTGTTAATGTCCGAACTTATTTATTTATGATATCGCGTAACATCCACTCGAATTCAATATTTAAAGTTGAATAAAAAAACTGCTCTATACGATTACTAACGCCATGATTCATCCAAACTATAAAAGAGTTTATAAAAGAGTTATATAACTAAAGCTGTTCCAAAGAGGCCGACGTCGACGCCGCCATGCGGGTAATTAAAATTTGACCGTTAACGTTTGAACATTCAACGTACTGTACGCGGCAGCGTGCCCGACTGCCTTTGAATAGGGATTGCTATAACTTTGAATGAGCAAACCTAAAATTATACGTTGTACCAATAGTACATACAATCATAAATTCATAATGTTGCCATGCATTTTTAGAGTCGCAATGCAGAAAATTTGAAAAAAAAAAACACTAAATTTTTGCGTGTATTGGATCGAAGCTCGAATTCGTTCTATCGAAATCGTGCAGAATAACAGCTGTTATTATAAAATTGTGAAAGTATCGAATTGGAGAATGACTGCAAAATCTGTTTTTACACTCGTCGGGTGTTACGCTTGTTTTAGTACCTGATTTACATTTTTATTGGAAACACATGCAAATTTACATCTATCGCTTACACAGAAGACTAATGGCGATGTACCTATATTACCATGGATTTAGGATTTTCCCACATTGTTGGCGATATCATCACTTTATTTATTGTGTGATATATATTTATACATATTAAATCTGTTTGAAAACCAGCCATTACAGGATATCATCCAAAATTGGAAACAACAATGACACAGCTAAACTGTCACATTTATAAAGATGACCGCTTAAAATGGTATGACTCATTCGTTTCGTCGTGTCTTTGACTTCGTGAATGAACTGAATGCAAAAACATAGCCGATGTGGGCTGAGCCTCGAATAAAGATAATGCGGACCTGCTTCATATGAGTAATATAAGATTGGTCCACGAATGCTATTACTACCTACTGCATACATGAATTGTTTAGAATTTTAATGTAATGCCATCAATTACAACCTACTAAAGTAAATTGTAATTTATGATTGAAAATTACAATCATAATCATCGTTAGTTAAATTGTGAAATCGAAATATACAAACAAACCCAAAAAAGAATGGACAATATTGAACTGACATTCAATAATTTTCTCTCGACTCATTCAAGAGCAACTTCAAAGAATTTGAAACAGTTAAGTTTATGATACATACATACATAACCAAATTAAGTTTCGATAAATTACTTGAATAAAAAAAAATAGAAGTGAGCTATAAAAAAATCCAAGCATTGCCATACAATTTTAATTGTCGAACATGAATCTACATCTTCAGTCAAGCGAAAGGGACCCTAAATGTTTATATACATAATATGCATTAAAATGCACATTGCACAAATTTTAAGCCCTGTTATAAATTGGCCGATAATAATAATAAATATGTTAGGACATTAACACACAGCGCCATCTAGTTCCATGGTAAGCTACGAGGCTTGTGTTATGGATACCAGATAGTTGATATACTACACATATATAACTTTTAAATACATACATATTATGAATATAAACAACCATGACTGGAGTACAAACCTTCGTGCTCATCACACAAATGAATGCCTGCAGCGGGACTCGAACCCGCGACCGCTGGCACAGCAAGTAGGGTCACTACAAACTGAGCCAATCACGTCGTCAAAATCATTTTTAGAGAATCTGACGATTAATAATAATATTTTTACTACGTGTAGAGACTAGAGGCTTCAAGACACGTGCTTCTTTCCGTCTGCATGTCGTAATCACGAGACGATTAACTTAATTATTGGTCGTAACCAATAAAGACATCGTTACGACAGATATAGAGTCACAAAACACCTAAAAGGCACGTAAACGGCCCAGTCTTATACAGGAGTTTTGATTGTGATACAATTAGAAAATTCTAATGAACATTTATACGTGTTTATATACATCTTATACATACTGTAAAATTGGGAATTGAAATTTTTGGACAGTATCAATAATTTACTAAGTGCTATATCTTATAATATAGATCGCAAAGAAGATATAGAAAATGCCTTTTTTCAGTGAATTTCTTCAATGCGATTTCTAAGTTCTAAATAAAAGGCCCGACTTCATTATTTGTTTTTATACTTATCATCGTTATATTTGTCAATGATAATGATAGCGAACACTCCTAAATCCGGTTACAAAATTATTTACTTAAGAATTTGTTACGAGAACCTCTGTCAATTGTCTATAAATGTTATTTTTATCATCATTTAGTTGGTTTTCGAATCACATTTTATTTTAATAATTTCCATCCGAAATTGAATATGCATAACCAATAGGAATGTACCGTAACCCACTATTAAGAACTGGTTTGGTAACATTACACCTGTTTACCCATTCACTGGGACAGCACCAGTGAATAGATATACAGAAAATAGCGACTCAATTGTCCTAGAAACAGACAATTGTGGACAACAAAATAGTGTTGTCATTATATGTTGTAAACTTTAAGATAACGAAACGTATTGGAAAAATCAATTTAGTGAGAAAAGATTTATTGGGTGGACGAAAAAAATGAAGTTATTAATAATTGTTTTATTTGCGAAAACGACTAAAAAGTCACAAGCGTAGTGTAATTATTTTTTAATATTCATAATTCGCAATGACATATTACGATCATTTTTAATCAAAAACTGGATGTCCTCATTGGTCGAGGGGTTTTGGTGAGGTTGTACACGATGGCATTGGTAAGTGGGTCATTGTCAACTGAGGATAAATACAGGGAAATCAATGCCGCAAAAGGTATAAGTGAAAACAAAATGACGGAAATAAGCGTCGTTGGGAATTACCAATCGACTGTTTGTTGGAAAATTTATGGGCATTTAGAAAATCCGGTTCATATTGGAATGATTTGATCATGGCATTAAATTATAAAGACAAGTTTAAGAAATACTATGTAATCTTCACATTTTATTATATCGTGTTAGATAAAAATATGTATAGCGCGTCGTGACTGTATTTTCGCTCAACACTCGTGCAATTCGTACATATATATCAGTAACTGTGAACCCATTTGGCAAACAAGCGTAAAAGCAATCTCGCTAATAAATTCGAGAGTGCATTATGCTTTCCAGAATAATAATTTCCACATATATAAACTTGAACTTGATGGCTCTCGCTAAAAATAAATTCTGACACGCCTCAAACGTCTTTTGGCATCTCTACATCAAATGTACTAAACACACGGTACTGGTATATGCAAAGTAAGTAAATGTGAGATATCATTTAAACATTTCGTCGCAGAAACAATACATCAGTTGACTGCAAAGAATAATTATACTGCTCACGCTATGATTTCTAGCGTGAGATTTACATTTTTATATAATAATTATAGACGATTTTTGTTCATTATTATACGATTTACATTTGAATTTTTATTTATTTATTTTATTTATTTGGTAATCAAACAGCGTTACAGTATTACTTAAGATTGCACATTGTACACAAAGGAGAGTTACAATAAGGCCAAAATTAGATTACACTAAAAATACTATAATAATGAACAACAGGCATCAAAATGGTAAAATAAATTAATTTTATGACACTCAGATTTACTAATTTTACAGATAAGTACAACATTGAGAAATAATCCACACTGAAATCATAATCAAAGCTACTAACCTTCTTGTAGAGCTTGATCCAGGTGAGGTCGCCCTTAGAGTCAGTGTATTGGAGGCCGAAGAACCAGACCTCGCGGAGGCCGATGGTCTTGACCACCTGGTCGAAGAGCTGCTTCCCAGTGGTCGTCTGCTGGATCGCGAACTCCAACTCCGCGTCCATCGTCGTCACCCGGACGTTCATCTAGAATTGTTGAAAATATTAATATATGTACACACAAAGCATTTTCTTAGCACCTTACATACATTTAAAAATTTGGATATTAATTCAATCTTAATTAGAACACTTATAAGAAAATACAGAATGCACACTGCACACTCATTATAATATGTTAAGTATTGAAGGTAATGAATTGTTACAATACTTGGAAAAATGATGAGAATGGAGATGTCATTACAATAAAATATTATTTAAAAATATCATTAAGAATAAAAGCAGAACAATATATGAAAATTCAAAAACTAATGAGCAAAGAAACTCTACAAAGCAAAATTTAAAACACACCGCTAACCTAAGGAGGGATATATAGCTAATAGATAAACGACAGCCATTCAAAAGACATGTTAAACTAGTAGAACTTCTACTGGAGAAATTATAAAATTGTTGAACTTCTGCAAATATAGAGTCGGATAGTGTGTTGAAGGTATTTATTTTAAGTAAGGATTAATTTTTAATTATTATTTACGGTTTATTTTTAACCGACGAAAAAAAGGAGGTTCTCAATTCGACACGTATATTTTATGTTTTTTTTTATATATTTGAACACGCATAACTTTTTACAATGTACCTAGTCCGATTTCGATGATTCTTTTTTGATTGGATAAGCCCTATCCAGATAGATGCCAGCCGATACATATCAAAGGACACCGACTTCGAAAATATCTGATTAGGTATCTATAGTAAATGAAAATTACCAATCGGTTATTTTTTACTTTCAGTGTTTATTTTAAAGTCGATTTTTATTTATTTTTATAAAGTTATTATTTTATTAAGGTTTATGCACACAATCTATAATTTAAGATATGTGAATTGGGAAGATTTTATCAAACGGTTTTAATCAAACATTATTATGATTGCTGGGATTAAATGAAAACTTACACATAAGTAATCAAATAGTAAAGAAAGTAATGACTTTACAACATGAGCTTTGTTATCTTTTACTCAATTTATCCTGAATATATAAACTGATGACAAAAACATCAAGTATTTATGTTTATTTCATGAAGTTGCACGCCTTCTAATGTTGTTTGAAAATTTAATTTTTATACCAATCTGTTAAGCACTTGTAGAATAGACCTTCATTTTTCTAACAATATAAATAACATTTATTAACAATGAATTATTGTGCTTTTTTGTATTTACACAATTTATAATAAGACAAATAAATTCAAAGTCAAACAAGAGTTTTAGTAAACTTAAGAAATAAGATACCAACACAATAAAAACCTCAACTAAATCATTATTAATACAAAAAAAAATCTTAAATGGAATTCCAATTATACGAGAAACACAACAACAACAAATAAAACAATTATGTGAGAATTTCGAAAAAAAAATTACAAATAAATAGAATAACAAACGTTCTGCAGCTAAGAAAATATTAAAGAATATAATGAGTAGCGATAATAATTATTGCCACATAAAATTCTCGTATATAAATGGCCTTAACAGCAACAAAATGCTCGTACAAAAGGCAGCAAGGCTCAGGCAAACGCCTTCCTGATAAACTGTCCTATCGCCATATTAACAGTATACATACTTAATAGCTTTCTAATACAAATGTTAAAGATAGCCCAAATATGCAGAGCATGTAAGGAGAAAAAGAAAAAAAATACAATTCGCTAATTGATTATTTTTATCAATAGATTTCCAGGGCGCCTTGGAACGTTAAGAGTGACAAGACCATGGGTCTCGTCGACCGTTTGTCATGAACAATCAGCAATCACTTCAGTAGTGAGAGTGTCGAAAGAATAGGTTTGAAGAAGCAATTGTCACTATTTATCCAATTAATGATCAAAAATAAAATTTACCCACTTCGTGTTCAATAAAAGCATAAAAAAAGTTAAACCAAAATAGAATTTGATGCATTTATTTTGTATCTATATTTACACGTTGTTCTGAGCCGGTGCCAAACGGATGTGATCTTCCGGGGCGATTGTGTCATCCGTATTTACAAGCTGTACGCCCCTAAGACTAGAAAGAAATAGCAGCATTTGAGCACGACTAGCGTCTGTTTTGATTGAAAAATATTTTTAAACGAATGCTTTTAAAATGTAACAAATATCTTTTGATCATATTTATTGATATATTGATATTATTTATGATTACAAATTTGGCTCAGTTTGTAGTGTAGTTGTACTGGCTGTGTCGTCGCGCGGTCGTGGGTTCGAATCCCGCTGGGGGCATTCATTTGTGTGATGAGCACAAATGTCTCCAGTCATGGGTGTTTAATGTTTATATTTATAATAAGTATATATTTAAAGTTATATATGTATAGTGTATCAACTATTTGGTATCCATACCATAGATCTCGAGCTTACCATGGAACTAGATGGCGCTGTGTGTTAATGTCCCAACATATTTATTTATTGAATTTACACATTAAAGATAGAATAAGCTGTTTTTGAACTTTATAAAATTGTGTTTATTTGAAATGACCGCTGTCCATTATGAAATAAAAATAACTAAGTACATATTATTCAGCCGTTGATGTACTATAAGACATCTGCTATTGTTTTAACATGAAATGAAATTCTAAAAATAAAACAACGGCTACCAAAACGAGTGCGTCAGTTTGCGCGCGATACTTTATCTTATCGTATTTGGCAGTATCCAGTGCAATGTTACCAGTTTCGGATACGGCATTACCTAATTAGCTAAGATGTTCACCTTGTTCTGAATGATATCCGAAGTAGAAATTGTACCGCTTAGTTTTTTATGCAAATTTCGAATCAATTACCAGCATTTTGGAATAAAAGTTGTCAATCTAATCTAAATAGTTTGCAGTTCCACAAGTTTTATTACAGATACTCTCTATTATATATAACTAACAATAAAATTCTCTTCAATTGTTATACTTCATATGTGATGTTGATACAAAAAGGCATTAAATACATCAGTCTAGAATATTACTGAATGTTAAAAGTTCCAAGTAGTATTTTATCATGCGATCGTAAATCTATGAACAATGGTCTCGTGTGCGATATTATCGGTGGCTGGTAACAATGTGTTCGCGATTCAATAGCTCCGAGGTCGACGATGAGCCTTGATTCCTCCCCTATAGCTGCAACTTGTAACCCGCATCACTATTATTAGAAATTTCATAATAAACCATTTATGTAATACTTTATAATAATTAAAAACAGGAATGTAAGATATGACAGAATCTATACATATAATAAAATTGTAACTAAGCAGAATCTGTACACTAAATATTTTTTGGAAAACCTTATTGAAATAGACATTATTATTGATAGAGGCCGAATCTATAGTTTTTAGAATTTTTGCCTGTCTGTCTGTTACCGCATCACGCAAAAACCACTGGAGGGATTTTGATGAAATTTAGTATGATGATAGCTGGTTATTCGGGTCAAGATATAGGATACTTTTTACAGCGGTAAAATATCTCATCCCTGAGAAATCGATACAAAACGGAAGTAGTCGCTAGTCTATCGATATAATTAGTAAAAATTCTAGGCTACAGCTATGAATGGATTATCGATAATGCATCAAATTCTACTATACGTTGTCTAAACGAGTTTTTAGTTACGAGCTATTGTAATTTTAATCTAAATGGTTAGCATTTTCAATGTACCTACGTAAGTAAATACATATTTTAATTACTTTTATAGATCGATTTAACCAAGGTTTTTAAAAATGATACTACTTCGTTTATTATTCTTAATGAACTTGATTAAAAGCTACATTTAACAGCTAAGCGACCGGGTCAGTTGATCTTGAGCGCGATGAATCAGCACCGTTTAATGCAAGCGGGAGATAAGCGACAATCTGGGCCTTATCAAAGTAAACGAATGTTTATGAAAGGCTAGCATTTCGCTACAGTATTACACCTGCGAGGTAAATCTTGTAGAGTATTAAATCTTTAATTAATGTAGTATTTTTCAAATCGTTATTTTTATTCCTTAACTAGCATTGCCCGCGGCTCCGCCCGCGTTCAGATGACCAAAAAGAAAATTCTTAGGTTTTACATATACTCTTACAATGCAGTTTTTGTATTTTTTCTCAGAAATGAGATACTTTCCCGCGGTAAAAAGTATCCTATATATTAACCCGGATAATCAGCTATCACCATACCAAATTTCATCTAAATCCCTCCAGTAGTTTTTCTGTGATGCGGTAACAGACGGACGGACGGACAGACAGACAGACAAAAATTCTAAAATCTATAGATTCGGCTTCTGTATCGATAATAATGTCTATTACAATAAGATTTTCCAAAAAATATGTAATGTACAGATTTGGCTAAGTTACAATTTTATTATATGTACATACATAATATATATGTATTTTCCGCCAACCCGCACTTGGCCAGCGTGGTGGACTATGGTCTGATCCACTGATAGTATCGAAAGGAGGCCCGTGCCCAGCAGTGGGACGTTAAAAAGGGTTGAATACATACATAAGTATGTATTTAATAGAACCGAGAAACTTTTGATTATTTACATACATATATAAATCTGCTTTTCTTGTTAATAAAAAGTACGATAATATTTTATGTACCAATACACAATAAATAAAACTATTAAAAGTGTATCGACATTTTAAGCAAACAGCTTTACGATTTTGTCATTTATATATTAAGTATGTATGTACATGTATTTTTTAATAGAACAATTTTAAAAACAATAACTACCTACTAATAATGGATTTCACAGATATCTTTTTCTTGTTTATCTGTGGTCGTACAGAGAGATTCACATCGACTTCCGGGTCAATTATTGATATTTAAAAAATACCTTACATATAGGATAGGTAGTATCAATTTAACAAAAAAAATATATATGATAGTAACACTGGGTAAAATAACATGAAATTTACTGATCTTAAAGTATTTCGATATGTTACGAGTAAAAACTACTCACCACTTCCGTTTTCGCAACCTCTTTAGTTTTTGGCAATTTCGATTTGCCATTTTTGGGGAATAAAAATTCCATTAGTCTCAT